GCCCGATAGGGGCATTGAAGGGTGTGATGTAGCAGGTGGAATTGGGTGCAAGGGGGGAGGAAGGGGTACGGGAATTGTTGGGGTAGAAGTAGGGGAAGGGCTGAGTTGGGGAGTGTGAACTGGGAAGGAGTGGTGGGGCAAGGTCCCAGTGGCGTGCAGTTCAGCTTGCCTTGTGGGATAATTGTTCATCCTTCATCATATACCTGTCAATAAACACATTGTAATAGCATTCACTGCCTCTGAGTAAATGTTTGTGCTTAATTATATAGTTCGCTGCCTCTTCAGTTGAAAACTGCACAGTACAGGTCGGTTCTTGGTACAATTGTAAGGTCCAATCCGGTGGCTGAGCACAACCTCGTTTCCTGCCATCTTGGTATTAATACATCTCAAAATCTCATTTAATTCAAACTTTTCAATTAGTGCCCTTTCAAGCCTCGATGTTCCCTTAGATTCGAGTAATCCCTGGAAGCTAATTGACCGCCTCCTCAGCAATCCACTTTCATGCTGATAGCCCCTCCCCTGGATGCCCCCCCCTGCCCCTCCCATACTCACCACTCTATCCCCCCACTAATCCACTCTCCCTAGCCATGTTGTTAGTCGTGCCTAATTCATTTGCAAGCCGAGTACATTCACTTTCCTATTCTTCCCTACTCTTCTTGACTTCTCCCTGAATATAGTTCACAAGCTCTTGTTTTTGTCTCTCAACCTCATCCTGTGTTTATTGAAAAATCTTTTTTTTTATTCCCAGGAACAAACCCTCCTCCGCTCAACAAATTTCACTATCAGCATTTCTACAAGCTTATCTTCCTCTTCCCTGCTACTGCTTGACCTGGTCGCCCTTCCTGATTTTGCCATTGCAATAAAGAACCTTAGCCAAGAGGCGTTCCAATTACCTTACACGTTCTGCTACATAACAGGTGAGTGAGTATGCAGGTGTCTCTCCATAGTGGTGACTGGCAGGTAAGGTTACGGTCGGTCACTGCTTGAGGCGGGTGATGTTACGGTCGGTCACGGCTTGAGACGGGTGAGGTCAAGGTCTGTCATGTCTTGAACCGAGTGAGGTCACGGTCTGACACGGCTCGAGGCGAGTGAGGTCACAGTCGGTCACGGCTTGAGGCGAGTGAGGTCACAGTCGGTCACGGTTTGAGGCAGGTGAGGTCATGGTCAGCGAGAAATCAGTTCCCACTGTTCCGTTACAATGTGTACAATACTTATTGTCAAATACACTATTTCAACTTTCTTTCTTCACTTCTTTATGGTTCCTATCAGTCTGCTAGATATTCATTCACTCATATACACTTTTTCACTGAGATGTAGTTTGTTTATCCCTCCCAATGTGATAGTAAACACTAGAGCTTCCCAGACCACAACCCTCCACTACGCCCAGGCGACAGTGTGTCTTTATGTGTTGCACCTAACACCTAGCTGTGCTTGCGGGGGGGTTGAGCTTCGGCTCTTTGGTCCCACCTCTCAACTTTCAATCAACTGATGTACAGATTACTGAGCCTACTCTTATCATATTTACATTTGAAACCGTGTATGGAGTCAGCTTCCACCACATCACTGCCTAATGCATTTCATTTGTTAACTACTCAGATACTGAAAAAAATCCTTCTAATGTCTCTGTGGCTCATTTGGGTACAAAGTTTCCACCTGTGTCCCCTTGTTCGTGTTCCACCCGTGTTAAATAGTTGGTCTTTGTTCACCCTGTCAGTTTCTCCGACCACTTTAGCTGGACAGTAGAGCGACAGTCTTGCTTCATGCAGGCCGGCGTTCAATCCCCAACCGTCCAAGTGGTTGGGCACCAAATGGGATGGGACAGAGGGAAGGAAAGTTCCTTCTCTCTGTCCCATCCCAAATCCTTATCCACACTCTTCCGAGGGCTATATAGTCGTAACGGCTTGGCGCTTTCTTCTGATAATTCCCTCCCTGTCAGTTCCACTGAGAATTTTGTAGGTGGTGATCATGTCTCCCCTTACTCTTCTGTCTTCCAGGGACATGAGGTTTAGTTCCTGTAACCTTTCGTCGTAACTCATACCTCTGAGCTCTGGGACTAGTCTGGTGGCATACCTCTGAATCTTCTCTATGTCTTGGTGTGTGTGTGTGTGTGTATGTGTGAAAGAAAGAGAGAGAAAGAGAGAGAGAAAGAGAGAAAGAGAGAAAGAGAGAGAGAGAGAGAGAGAGAGAGAGAGAGAGAGAGAGAGAGAGAGAGAGAGAGAGAGAGAGAGAGAGAGAGAGAGAGAGAGAGAGAGAGAATACTTCGCTAGTAAGGTAAATGACATTAATAATCTTGATACAAGGGTTATTTTTAAAAAGAAGATAAATATTCCCTCCTTAATATAATTTAATTAATCTTGCATAGTTAGCTGTATAATTTTTAAGTGCATATATATATATATATATATATATATATATATATATATATATATATATATATATATATATATATATATATATATATATATATATATATATATATAAAGTACTGTTACCTGGTTTCTTTATGTATTTTTCTGTTACCTGGTTTCTTTATCATATATATATATATATATATATATATATATATATATATATATATATATACTGAAAAAAATCATTATATATATATATATATATATATATATATATATATATATATATATATATAATATATATATATATAATAAAGTGTGTGTGTGTGTGTGTGTGTGTGTGTGTGTGTGTAAATCACGAAGAAATTAATACGTGATGTTCAATGTGAGGAATGAGGTGAGGTGAGAAACAATGCCTTTGTTCACAGACATAAGGGAATTATGAAATAAGAAGACTAATAGGGTATTATTGAGATAAATGTGTATCAATACTACACATTTATGATACACATGTATAGAATTCGTTATTGACGAAGCCTTCTCCCAATCAGTTTGGTGAGAAATTGGTCACAAAATTGATTGTGAAAGGGCACCTTAAATAACGAATTGTAAAAGCATTTTCGACAAACATTATTGAATCTGCAATACGGATTACAAAATCATACAATTTAAACATTAGTAGTGATTTGTATAATTTAGATCGATTTTTGATTGATCAGTTAAAAAACAATTAGAGTAAGTTAATTGATAAACATTTATATCGATAATACCTTATTAACATCACCTTCTCATTATTCCCTGATGTTTGTAAACAAAGACATTGTTTCTCATCTCATCTCATTCCTGCCTATATATCCACACACACTGAATTGTAAACCCATCCTACTGAAAATGTATTATTAAATACGAAAGTACTTAAAGAATTTCCTGTCTTAATCCTTCCTATATATATATATATATATATATATATATATATATATATATATATATATATATATATATATATATATATATATATCCATTGTATTTATGGACATATTACAAAACTCCACCTTAAACCCTTTGGTAATGGACACTAATGTCGGAAATACTTTGCGCAATAGTGGCTTTATAGAAATTACACTGTGTACCTATGGATACTCCACTCTGTCATATTTCAAATGTTCTTTATATAAATAAAAATGATTATTATCATAATTATTATTGTTATTTGAGTGTTCAATTTGGAAAACTTTGGAAAATTGGGTTCTGCTTTGAAATTCCTATAAATAGCAAGATTTGAACTTTATCTGGCTATTATTACCTAATAGAGAGATAAACTATGAAATTATGTAAGCCAATAATTATATAAAATTTGCACCATGTGGAAAAAGTGTGCAGAAACATATTAAAAAAAGAAATATGTTAAAGAACATTTACGATTTTGTTTAAAGTCTTCTATAAAATATTTATAATTTTCCTTGAATCTTGTAAAGAAACTTTAATAAGTATATTGGGAACCCCTCTATCTAATCTTCAGGACCAAATATGAAAAATTTAGGATTTACTTATCATAAAATTCGATATATTTAAGAAAATATATTAGTTTTTAATATTTCCATATTCCCCATGATTTTAATTACTATTTGAAAAAAATATTTAAATTAATTGTATAGTTTTGCAAAGGAAATGCAAGTGACTGGAATACCTGTGCTCTAGAAGGGTTAGGAAATCACACTTTGCCTGACTGTCAACGTCACCCTACAACACCACTCGTGCAGTCACTGACAGGAGAAATCCTTCATGCAAAATGCACAATAACGAAGGTGTATTATCAATCAACGAACCCAATACTTGACACTGTCGTGATCTGTCAATGTTTTACCAAAATATTACTAGTGTGACAGCATGACAGCCGTTCTCCTGGAAGGGATGGATATCACGTGATGTAACCGGCGGCAAGTCACCTCAACATTCAGAGATGGGACTCTAGTCTCACCTCGCCCGTCTTAGGGGTTACATGCTATAAGAATATGAAAGTGTATTATTTATTCTATTTTGACTAAAATTTGAGAGCCGTAGTATTGCCAGTAATGTGTTATATCTGTGGTGCCCTGACAGTGAAGATAAAAATGATAAAGTAAACGATGATTTACTTTAGACAGAACTGATTCCTATTGCTGTTTTGTAGACTGGGATTTATCCTGAACCTTAATATTGAGACGACCTTATTCTTACTGAATTATATTTTCGTGTATAAAGAAGCAAGCTTGTGCTGAGAATGGAATACCTGGTGTACTGCCATAGAGTGACTCAGAAGCCACGCAGGAGTAACTAAACATCTTCTAAGAGGTTAGCGAAGAGTTACCAATGATAACAAGAATCTGACGCCAGCCGCTTTACATGTGTTTGGGATGCAAGGCCAAGCACCGAGTTTTACACGCTAATAACCATGAACGGTGGCAGCTGAGTGCTCTAACTGTATGGTTGTACTAGCATGCTACATGCGCCTAAGGTAATGCTTATAATGGCTCTTATTGGAAATGTAAATAGTTCAAGCAGCTGCCAGACACAGATGTTTCTGTCAAGACTTACACGACACAGTTCGTACGGTCTTCGTTGCCTGACTTCACTTTGGGAGCACCATTGTTCTTGATAGTTAAAGCTGACTCAAAACTTATATTATAATTATATATTTGTGTAGAAATTCTTCATGAACAGGAACAAAGGGAATATTAAATGCCTTCCATAAGGGCATACCAAGACTAAGCTTCACTGATTACATACATATTCGGCTGGAAGAAACACTTCTGGAATATATCTAAAGAAGACTGGTTGATATATAACGGTTGGGGTGGGGCTCCCAGTCACCCACTGGAGGGGGGGGGGGCTTGGCCAACAAGTGGGGGTCCTGGCCACCCAGAGGGGGCCCTAATCAACATGTGGGGTCGTGGGCACCCACTTGTTGAGTCTTGACCGCCCAATGGGGGCTCCCGGCCACCCAGTGGGGGCATGGCGCCAGCCAATGGGGGCTATGGGCCAGTGGTGCTGCTGTGTATCCCTGGAGTTTGGACCACCTTTCACAAACATCAGTTTCTACCTCACTTCACATATATTTAACAAAACTATTTAATGACTTAATTCCATCTGAGTAAATACAAGATTACGTAGGTAGTGACAAGAACATAACGTTGATAAGGCTGACAGACACAGCCAGTACGGTGGTGACGCCTCACTCCCACTCTCACCTACAGTCCCAAGTACACAAACTGCGGTAAACACCTCATTCATTGCCCGAGGGGAAAAAAATTGAGTTAAGTTTTTGCTCTTGCAAGCGTGCAGCCTTTTTTTGTCATTCCTAGATCAGCACTGTCTACGGACGATTTCAGTTAGGTGAAGCTTTCCACTGTCACTTGTTGCAAAGCCAATCAATCTTTTTTTGGCATGCTACCAACTTGCGTGGGAAATAACAGAATGTAGGTTTCATCGCTTTGGCTATACTCTATAAAACACTCTCTAAATATAGTATAAAATGAGTAGAATAACATAGTTGCAAGCAATAAGTCCCAGTACCTTACTCCACCAAAATCAGATGATGTTAGGAAGCCTATCGACAAGAAAACTTGAAGCTAAAAGTATCTTTTCGCATTTTCAGAAGAAACCATCTCTGGACACAACACGACACAGATCATACCAGCAAGCACTAGCTAGTTCATTCGTCCTTAGGGGTAAAAACAAGTAACTTCAAAGTTTATCTGCTTACCATACATAAGTATATGGACAAGTTTTATCTAATCACGCTGGCAATCAATTATATTCTAACCGTTTGCCGTAGCATTATGCATCCCTAACGTTATTCTGTCCTGATGAGCAAATGTTCTTCTCGACGGAACGCGGGACCTGGTCACAAGGGCCGCCTGGCAGGAAGGGTGGTGGCAGTAGGGCGCTGGAGCTGGCGGCGCTACCAGTGGAGGCCCGGCCCGCCCTGGACTACGTGGCCAGCTCCGACGAACCCAACTGTTGCGTCTCAGGGTCCGAGGTACTCCGCCCGTTGGACACGTTGGCTTGTGGCGAGTCCCTGCCACCCCGACCGCTAGACAGGTTCTTGCCTTCTGACTGGGTCATGTCACTCTCTACGTCACTCTCAGTCTGTAAACATCAAATGTCGCTCAGCGCCGAACATAACAGTTATAAAGACGACACAAGAATAGGAAAGGAGTTTTTTTACTTACACATTATAAAGAGGTGCAAGGTAATGTGTTGATATATTGAGCTCGTGTACAATACAAGCATATATGGAACCATGAAATAAAGTGTAAGGAGTAAAGGGTATAGTTGAAAGCTCAAGTCCATTTCCTATCTGCTTATGTAAGAATTCTTTTAATTATAAACATAATACAGACTGGTCACGGACGTTCGTATCACAATAAACATAAAACAACTGTTCTTCAGAATATTTAAAAATGGAAAAGTCACACCAACATGGAGTCAGAACACACTGGAGGAGAGTTCTAAACATCTGCTACTGTAGCAAGACATTCTCCAATACTATGAGCATAGTACTTCAACAGTACCGAGACCGATAACATATAAGCGACTTATTTATCTGGAACCCATTGTTGATGTGACGACTTATATTAAATTTTGTAACTAGCTCATCAAGATTGTAACTTGCTTAGCTAAATGAATTGTGGGGTTCAGTCCCTGAGCCCATTATGGGCCTCTGTAACCCTTTCCACTACCGCCCACAAGATGGGTATGGGGTGCATAATAAATGAACTAAACTAACTAACTTCTACCAGGTTTCCTTGTGCCACCGTCCAGTCTTATCAACACGTTTATGGTTGCATGTTTAGAACTGTTTACCTAAGAACGGTCAGTTAGAGGTTAGTGAGGCGTGACAGGAAGATGTGCAGTAATGGCTGTCTGCTGGAACAACAAATATGCAACAATTTTGAATTATTATTATTTAATCCTGAAAACTCGGCCAAAATAAGAGACTACGTGAAACACTAAGATGTGACCTTGTGAAAAGATAGCAGATCTGTACACATGTAAAGGTTATGAATGTGGTGTGTGAGGTGGACCTTGTTATGTCCGGTCACTGTGCCTGAGGCACAGAGGCTACCAGGCTACCTGGACCCCAACAAGAACTGACTGTCCGGTCAATTAATACACGACTGGTAGTGCCAGATGTAAGGGAAGTGAAGCAGACTCCAGCACACACAACCCCAAAAGTCCCAGACGAGGAATAACATAAGAGGCCGCGGTATTTAACTGAAAGCGTCCCTAATCAACACCCAAGCTGAGTCCCACAACCGTCCAAGGTACACCAACAATCATGGCATAATGAACCACCAATATTCCGATCCATTCTCCTCAAATAATAGTACTCATATAATCTATCCTGTCGAAAGTACCAATATGTAGTGATGGACTACCGAAAAGTTAACTTTTTTGTACTTTTAATTTTATTGAGTACGAAAAATAAATCAAAAAGCAAACTTAAACATTCCTAGGCCTAATTTATCACATATATGTACTACATAGGCCTAACATACCGTGTATTAGGCCTAGGGTTGCCAAGAAAAGGTAGGTAAGGTCTCATATTTATGTCGCATATATCAAAGAAACAACTTTCCATTTGGTCAAAATCAATAATACAAAAGTCAACTTTCTGGAGGTCCATCACTACATATTGGCACTTTCCACAAAATAATTACAATGTGCACTATCAGGTCAGGAGTTATAAGACGGGATGGAATAGTCCAACTTTTCTGTTTGCATCATAATTATATACCGCAGATAATCAAAGTTACTGAGACAAATGATTCTAATAGAATAACTCAAATTTCTGAGATATTTTAACTTAAGAGAGAGAACTGAGGCTGAGGAGATAACTGAAGCTGCTGAGATAACTCAGACTCTTGAGATAACAAAGACTACTGAGATAACTGAGCCAACTGATATAACTACCGCTACTAAACTAACTAAGGCTACTGGATAACTGAGGCTACTGAGATACCTGAGCTACTGAGAGTAAGGTTATTGGGACAATTAAGCCACCAAAGATAACTAAGGCTAGTGAGTTAACTGAGGCTACTGAGATAGCTAGGAGCCCAGAAACACCTGAGAGGACGGGGTGACCCATCCTGTACAGCAAGTGCGGTAGAGGGCGATGGAGCCAGAGAGAAATACACACACCTGCTTCCCTGGAGGGAAGGGCGAGAGCCTCTCTGAGGTGTCGGAGCCACACGAGGAGGACTCTGAGAGCTCGGTGGTGAACTTGCGTCCCACCCTGGGGGAGGCTGGCGGCCGCCGGCTGCACACCTGCGCCTGGATGTGCTCACATATCCGTCGGAACCGCCGGATGTTTCCTGAAAATATTGAGCGTGAGATGGAGCTCGTGGCGGCGTCCGGCATGCACGCAATGCAACTCAACATTGCAGCGCACAAAAAAATCTAAAAAAAAAATTAAAATTTGCTTAATCAAAACATGGTGACCAAGAATGATCATTTAGGCATGCAAGTTAAATACTACTTTATTCCTGTTTTCTTAAGCAGTGCAAATTATTCTTAGTCAAAAAATGTTTGCCATATTACAGTTGTTTGGGATTCAATATTCCAAAAATTCACCACAAACTGTCAATTTCAAAGTATTAAAAAAATCTGCAAAAAGTGATTTTGTGATGCATTCTCACGTGTCAAAATCGGGGTGGGAGAGAAGGGCGGGCCACACGGACCCGCACACGGGTGCAACACTACACAAATTCTGCCAACAGTTATATAGAACAAAATCTTAACAGTGGCCACCAAAAATCTAAGAGACAGAACATAAACATAAATCAAGTATAGTACTGTAGTTCACACAGGAGAGGAAGCAGGCCTCCATACTATACTTGTGGCGTATGTATACACAGGACGGTGCATGCATACACAGCGGTGGTGTATGTATATACAGGTGTGTGGTGAGGGTAAACCCCCCAGCTTGGACAGGTGTGTGGTGAGGATAACCCCCCCCAGCTCTGACAGGTGTGTGGTGAGAGTAAACCTCCCAGCTTGGACAGGTGTGTGGTGAGGGTAACCCTCCAGCTCTGACAGGTGTGTAGTGAGGATAACCCCCCCCCCCTTGGACAGGTGTGTGATGAGAGTAAACCCCTCCTCCCCAGCTAGACAGGTGGACAGGTGAAGTGTGAAGGGAAGTGTTGTGTGGTGGGGCTGCGTGGTGCACACACACACACACACACGGGACCTACACAAGTACAGGTCCTGTCCAGCCCCCGTGAACCACAGTCCTACACCACGTGGAGAACAGTATTAAACAAGTACAATACACACCGCCTACACTCAAGACCCCAGCTCTACACGACTGAACTAGCCACAAGACTGGCATCCCCTCAGAGTACTTGAGTGTGAGCGCGAGTACAAGCTCACCTTACGCTTGATAAGCTTTAAGCTGTGAAGCGGGATACTACGGAAATTTGTTTAACTGGTGTTGGTTCATTACCCATCATACCAGAGAGCAGAATGAAGTTAATGGCGTAGAGCGGGTTGGGGTCATTGGGGCAACAGACCGGCGTGATGTCCACCTGGAACCTGACGTGCCTCTGGAACATGGCTGGACCCGTACTCCCGCGCTTGTACTCCACCCGGAAACTCATTGGTGACGTCACGCTATGGCTCAGCTCCGCTACCTGCAGGTGTGTGTGTCATGCTTAGTACCTGTAGTGGTTAGGGCTCCAGGGGCCCTCATCACGACGGGGGTCCCAGGGGCCCTCATCACGACGGGGGTCCCTGGGGCCCTCATCACGATGAGTGACTCAGGACCTCTATAATAGCGGGGGATCACAGGGCCGGTGTAATGGCTCCCATGACTCCGCTAATAACCAGCCACTTGACAAGCCGTGTCCGGATACGCGCACAACTTGTCTCAACCGTGTGTGATGGACCCCACAACAATAACACATCTCAGGTCCCTGTTGGTCGTTAGCAGTGAAGTAAAGTGCCTTCTATCTCCGTGGGCTGCTTCACAACCAGCGTTCTGCTCCACCAGGCAGCCTGCACCACCTCCTAACACTAACCTATCTCTCCTCTACAGCCGCACTCTCACCGCACTTGCTACAAGCGCTGCTAAATAGTGTTGAAGGCTTGGTACCTTCTTTGCATAAAACTTACTCGCTAGATGTACTAATATATATATATATACATTTATCAGCAATTGACACTAATATGAAGGTGAGACTCGCCATATCTTCCAAGACAAGTTACCTCACTTCCTACCCTCACCTGAGCTTCCTCGACTCTCATAACACAAGACTGTTTGCCTGGAGCAAGGAGGAGTTTCAATTCCTTGTCATGATGGGTTGTGACCCGCCGTCACTCCCGCCGTATTGTCCGGTACAGAGGCACAACCACTACAATGTTATACTCACTGGCGGGGGAATCCCTAGTTATAAAAATAAACACAGAGCTAAACTGGAGAAAACAAAGGTAGGTTCTGCTACGCGACCATGAGCGGTGATTGTTTTAGCATTGTTCATAAACCTACCATTATTCATCATCCTACCATTATTATTCATCCTACCATTATTCATCATCCTACCATTATTCATCATCCTACCATTATTCATCATCCTACCATTATTATTCATCCTACCATTATTCATCATCCTACCATTATTCATCATCCTACCATTATTCATCATCCTACCATTCATATTACATTCGTGTTAAATGATCAGTCAATCTTGCCATACATTTTGCTCGGTGGGCAAAGAATTGTGACGTTAAAACTTGTAATAATTGCAACTATTTCTGGTATTCTTTTATTTGATTTGATCTCCAAATATCTATGGTTCTGGCAGCTCACACATACGCGCGCGCGCGCGCTCACACTCACCAGCCCATCCTCCTGTTTAGATAGTACTTTTTATAACTATGTGCACCATAGTACAAAGATTGACGTACTAAGGAATTATATAGTAGAACTTGGTACTATTCACTTTATAGTCTGAAAAAAAGAAGCTAAAAACAAACTAAAATATTCTTATCAAATAAATATACTTATCATTCAATACTGATCTTTATATTAATTTGTCAACAAAATATTCAACTTCAATATGTTCACAAACGCAGAAAAAACTTTCCCTTTTCACCCGTTTTTGAACTTTCCCGTTCTTGAAAAAACTGGAAAGTGGCAGAGGCAGGATAGGTTGAGAGGAAGAGTGGCTTAGTGCAAGAGGACGACTCTCGAGACTCACCGAGAGGAAGGCATGGATGAGGTCAGCCTTCACGGTAGCCAAGGCCTTGTCCTTCACTAGGATCGTGTAGGTCTCGTCTCGCTCAGTGCTCATCAGCGACCCAAACCACGACTTCTTCGTTAGCTCCGGGGACGACTCCGGCGTCAAGTGCACCTCATCTGCCGGAACTGTGGTGAGCGTGAGATGATTCAGCTTGTGCCTAAACGAGTCTAGCACAAACCACACTCACTCTATACCAAAGACAAATTAACAAAGCAGCATATAAGCCAAAGACTGAAATCAGAACGTAGAGTACCTTGTAATTTCCTCCTATGGAAGCGCGGGGAACCTAAGAAAGAATTTTTAATTGTATTTAGGCGTGATTTCCAGTATGGCGCGGAGTAAGGGGAGCCGGGAGCTGAGGGCGGGTTGCTGTCGTCCCCTGAAGTTATTGTGCCGGACTGTTGGTGGCTGCTGGTGCTGCTGACGACGGTGCTGACCCCGCTGGTGCTGGTGCTGGTGCTGGTGCCGCTGTGGTGGTGGTGGTAGTGTTGCTGGGAGTGGTGGTGGTGGCGAGAGGTGCGGGGCGAGGAGAGCGGGGAGGCTGTGGGCGTCACGTTGTTGGAGTGAAGGGGAGAGTGTGACCCGCTGTTGTTGTTGTTGCCAGAGCGACGCCGACTGCACGGTAGCGTGTGCGACGACCTGGACACAATGCTCACCGTTAATCACAACTTGTAGGCCGACAATCACAGCTGGTAATAACATGACATGCACGTGCACCATTGGCAGATGTACAATAGGCGTGGTTATACCCATCACACCAAGATGCTCACAATAAAGCACTCTGTAAGTGGCCAAATATCTGGCTGGTAAGAGTTTCCGTTGTTCGGGAGAGCAAGCCTTTACTTAGGCTTATCCAGGTCCCCTTAAGCCAACTATTGATCCTCCGCAGGATGCAACCCACAACAGTTGCTCTACTCCTGGGTACCTAAATACTGTTAGGTGAATGAAGGCATCGAATGAAAGGAAACGTTCAATACTATCTCTGTCCTACCACGGTAATTGAACCCGGAACCCTCGGTTGTTAGCCTATGGCACGCCACTGCCCTACAGGACTGCTTCGTATTTTACATTTCCGAGTTCAATCTTTGATGATCCAAGTGAATGAAATGGTATTCCCTACTCACACATAACCATAACTCTAACAGCCATTGGCCTGTAGTGAAGAGACATGTCAATATAAAAAATCTGAAACACGTTACAAAACAAAGACTGGGGAAGGGAGGAGAGGCAGTGTAGAGAGGACACGCATGTAGAGAGAAGGGGAATGAGAGGCAGTAAACTTAGAAGAAGGGTGGAGAGGAGAAGCAGGGACGGTGGAGAGGCCGGGTGTTGAGGACACCTACTGGTGAGTAAGATTTCGACGTGGGCTGATGGGCGAGCCCTCAGCTAGACGCTCGAAGTGGGACATTGTGCCGTTAACAGAGCAGGTGTCCACTCTCTTTCTTGGCGGGTCGGCGGACTCTGAGCGGTATCGGTGGATGACCTCGTTCTCATCCTCGCACGCAGGTTTCCGTCTCTTCCGGTCGAGCAGGAGGAAGTAGATCACCTTCTCGGTGTTGTGGCTGAAAAACACAAACTCTGTGTATAGCATGGAGTCTTAGTTACCAATCTAACACTACAAATATTTGTAGTTAAATGTTTGTATTTAATACTTCCCATCATGAAGTGCGAGTGACAACATGATTCCTCCCACCAATAACGTTAGCAACACTTGGTCTCTCAAAAACTGCGGGACAACCTGTCCTCTTAAAAAGAACGTCGCTTTTGGCCGTTTGCCCGTATGGCCGAATATGGACGTAATTTGAAAATGAAAAAAAAAATGAAAATAAATTTGGGATTTTTTTTTCAACAACAGTAAGTTAAGGGTCCTCTGGTAGGTTAGGTGGGCAGGAAATTCTCATAAAATTTCAAAACGTTATGAAAAACGTTAATGGAAAGTTTCCTTTTCTAAGCTGGCCGAGTAAGCCGGACGACTCAAACAGAAAACGGGACAGTGCGTCACTTTTGTGAGTCAATTTCATTTCAAATTAAGTCCAAATTTGGCCATAGTGCCGCGCATACGAGCCAAAAGAGACGTTATTTTTAAGAGGACGGGTTGTGCGATGTTTATCGTCTGTAAACAAAAAACAAGTTCCGGTTTGCCGACCGACCTCTGTTGTCCAGCTGCAACCTTCTTACTCCTCTGTGACCCTCACTGAGAGTACTGCTCCTCCAGGCTGCATTTATGACTCCTTACTCAACTCTTGGGTAGAATTCTAGCTTTAACGAAGGGCCTAACTTTTGTCAATCTCCCGTCCTGCCTGGCAAGAATCACATATAAAGCACAGCACAAGAGAAACTGGGACAGAAGGTTGAGGACACAACTAACTGAGTGTCGTTCGAAAATTGGCTTTTCATTTATTTTCAAAGCCTTATTTCTAATTCTCATCAATCAGTTGCTTCCTGGGCCAGAGTGCCCGACAGAAGAACTGAGCTGACCAGTATTGAATACTGATACAAATAGAACTAAAAGGTAAGGACGTGATCCAAATTCCAGAACGCCAAAACATTTAGGTACATACAATTTCGTTTGATGAAAATGTCAACCGGAAGAAAGATGCCCAACTGCAACACCCAGGATGTTATGGGTGCTGGGATGTGCCTGGATGCAAATGCACAGTTCAAATTCCAAAACCTCGGAGCTGTGAAGTCACCAAATAATACAAAGGTGAAGAATGCCTTTAGGCTGGGGAACCTCCACACACAGCACGAGCATGTTGGTAAGCCTGAGACCATTAACTTGACCATTATCTGCAGCAATTGAGAGCCAGGCGAGATAGCACAATTGAGATGGTACAAGGCACCATCGTATGGGCATTTAGGAAGAAGACTGCCACTGAAGAGAGGCAGGAAGCCAGATACAGCACAAGGCTGGAACTATAAGCAGTACTGTATTATGCAGCTTATAAAACTCTGAAGCTTCGATAGATGAGCAATAGCATCCTGACTGGATAACACCAAAACATTCTACTTTAGTTTCAGTTGAGATCGTGTGTAAATATATTGGTGTCGTGGAACGGCGCCACATACACACAGTTCCATCTGGAGGAAGGTCAAAAAGTGTTGCGTAACCACTACTGAGATGACCTTCTCCACTTTCCATTCTATCCCAATCATTCTAAAACAAGAGAGACAATTATGCTAACACATTCGACGTACCACCAACTGCTGTGAGAACTAAAACCTAAGAAGCCAGAAGACACTACGACTGAAAAACAAAGAAAATCACACTAACGTAATATATATGAAGGAGACAATCCACTTCTACCACCACCACTGACTTGGTAAAAGTCATACAACCGGATTTCTACTGTATGACTACTATTTCCTGCGATTTCAGTAGAAATCCGGTCGTCTCACAGCCCCAGTGGATTTTCTCACTACGACTGAAATCCAGTATAACAGTGGAAGAAACCGTGAGGCTGCCCAAATCGAATGCGGTAATGTGCCAGTGGAACACTGTCGAGGTGCAGACGGAGAGAGTAGAGCTCCTCGGGATTGAGACGTCTTTAATGGCAATCTTTACTGTTGCCATTACCTGAATGTTATTTTTGAAAGGAAAATGAAAGTGGTCGTGGTGTCCCAAGTGAATCCCAACTATGTCAAGCGTTGCGCCACCAGCAGCTGAGATTTCATTTCGTTCACCAGAAAGTTGAATTTGCTCGACATCATCGCCAACACAGAATTACTGATGGACGTAAGTTAAGTTTGAGACGATATGAGCGTCAACCCACAACAGGTTGAGGCTCAACCTTTGTCTTGGTGGGAGTCAGACTACATTCAACCCATTCTCCCTCAATGACAGTGCTGAGAATAACTATTTGGTCCAAAGTATCGACATGTAATGATGGATCATCAGTAAAGCACTTTCTGTACTATTAATTTTATAAAGTCCAGAAAAAATAAAGCTAAAAGTCAAACCTAAATATTTCTACGCCTTGTATATATGTACTATATTAAGCCTAGAAGTTCTGGGAGAGGTTAGTTAGATCTTAGATTTAAGTTGAGGTTAAAAAAGTTTCCTTGTTTGTCCAAGATCAATATTACAAGTCAACTTTCTGGTGGTCCATCGCAACATATTAGTACTTAGGACCAAATAGTTACTATAAGTACTTTCATTTCAGGAGAATGTGCTGGAGGAATTGAACCACCAGTAACTGAAGCATCCTGAATGCCCATAACCAACACCTCCCAAATGTGAGTGCCAACTAAACAGCTGATCAGTACCAAAATATACCCTGAGGAAGTGAAGGAATCAAGTCAAGGAGAAATCGTGTATCAGCAGGTATCAAGCAGCATCCAGCAGGTATCAAGCAGGTACCCAAATCCATTCACTTTTGTCCATAACGACAACGGTTCAGACTGACATTCCAGCAACATACCAACAGGTTTCCTACCATAACGGGACAGTTAATTAACCACTCACCACTCCACTGTAGGGCATACGTAAATCTGTGTATCTATGTATTTTCGTATGTAGCTTAGCTTAGCATTTTAAAAGTACTACAATCACCTTCCGTGGTTGATTGTTAAATAAATCCCTGAACTATATGTTTAACAAATCTCTCACCAGGAGAAACCCCGACACACTACCTACTAAGTCCAACTTCATAAAAACCTGTCGACGTGCCCTCACTGGCCCTAGTGTCACTGGCCCCTTTGCCAGGGTGAACAAAGGGGCCGAGAATAACTAGCAGAGTCTTCTTCAACAAAAGCGAGCAGATTCCTTTGACCTCCACCAGAAGTGTCCGAAACAAGGAAACGCCACTCGCTCAGGAAACACACACACCAGAACCTCGACCACTCTTTAAAGAATCCTACAGAAATAGCACAGGACCCTCTTCCTGGGCAAGGAGGGAGGAACAGACTTGGCCTGAAACCATGTAAGGACTGAAAGAACAAATGACGAGCTTCCTCCTACAGATAGCCGGACCTCGCCGGTGGAAGAGAGGACAGCAGAGAAACATGTGGACGCTGACACCTCCAACTAACTCGATCCCTGCGATCTCGAACAACTAACAATCCCTGCTTGCCTGCAGGGATCAAGTACAGCGAAGTCGGCAACATTGGATCAGCATGAACACCTCAAACTATTCTCCAGTGAGGCAGCACATGTAACAATCGTCGGGTACATGTACAAAATATGCACTTTTGCACGTCACACAATCAACGGTTTAGCCAACTGGTTAAATGGTGATAATTGGGATCACGAGGCTTTAACAATTTATGACAACTAAAATCAAACATAACCTAGATTTAATATAATACAAATATGTACTTAATTAGGTTTAGTTTGGGTGTTAATATCTGGTATGTCATCCAGACTCAAGTATGTTATTTTCTGCATATTGGCAATATTGCGGAGCCTTATATGTGCTCAAGTTCATACTTGGTATAATATGAACTTGGTATAAAATGAACTTGGTATAATATGAACTTGGTATAATGAGTCTATTGACTCTTAGTCATGATGTGTCCACGTTAACCCTGCTTCTTCTACAGCCCTACTCGCTCATTACCATTATAAGGGATTGTTAAAGAATATTTAGGTTAGGATACATAAATATATATAATAAATGTGGAGTTAGGTGATATTTGTGTTTTATAAAGTATTTGTAGTCAAATACGATGGTGCTTGACTTAGTTTTGACGTATTAATACAACGACGCTTTATATGTTAAGTAACGTAAGTGATAAATATAAGGTGATGAGATATCACCGTCCCACCACCAGTGTCTGGCCAACAATCTCGTACATCATTACACGTATTATGTCACAGGGTCAGAATCACCCCACACAACCAAAGTGGTTGGGCCACTACCGTCTACTTCCTGATTTCCACCTTATCTCTCAAACCTTCTTGAAGATTTCCTGTATCCTTATCTTACCCTTTGTTTATCAGCTCCATGGGCACCGGAACCGGATGCCTCCTTATAATTGCTGCGGGCCGCTCCAAGCAACAGTCTGGTGGACCAACCTATCACAAGTCAAGTTTGGCCTCGGGCCGGGCTTGGGGAGTAGAACTACTCCCAGAACCCCATCCAGCAGGTATCAAGCAGGTACCCAAATCCATTCACTTTTGTCCATAACGACAGCGGTTCAGACTGACATTCCAGCAACATACCGACAGGTTTCCTACCATAACGGGACAGTTAATTAACCACTCACCACTCCACTGTAGGGCATACGTAAATCTGTGTATCTATGTATTTACGTATGTAGCTTAGCTTAGCATTTTAAAGTACTATAATCACCTTCCGTGGTTGATTGTTAAATAAATCCCTGAACAGTATGTTTAACAAATCTCTAACCTTGTCCATGGAGGACAGAAGAAAATGAATATATGATGGTTAGCATTGTAAATATGTGGCCACGTCTGTGGCAGAAAAAAACTCCACGAAGGAAAAACATTGTATGATATAATTTTAATGTTTTCAATATTTATCCAAACCAAGAATAAAAAAAGAATTGAGAGACTGTTGTGCAGCTCTGAGCCTTGAGAGTAGCAGGCGCATCGGAAAGAAGGTTTAAGTGGGTCAAGAGCGAGGCGGAGGTTTGACGTGAGACTTGGCAGTCTGCCTCTTGACCGACGCCAGGCGAGGCTGAGGTGGAGGTCCCCAGCCTCTCACCGACGCCAGACGAGGCAGTAATGAGGTGACGGTCACTGCCTCTCACCCTCATCAGACGAGGCATCGGAGCCCGCTATGCACAAGTCACCAAAAATTGCCGTTTACACATAAAGCAGCTGAAAATCAATTTAACAAATTATGAAAAAAATTAAAAAATGACTCGTAAAAGGACAAAATATGTTTTGGCCTAATAAAGTTTATAAACCTCCGCCTATCAAGACATTGAACCTTTCATTACCTTACGATCTGGATTGTTTTTTGTCAAAAGACTACATGAAAAACCCGAACTGGTTAAAGAGAGCAGTGAATTACCCACCAAGGATCGAGAAGGTCCAACATAACTTTGTCCTTGTCCTTGAAGCAGCCGAGGGAGCCCATGTTTCTGATGACATCTGGGTCGATACTGTCCTTGGTGGGGATGATGTGGGTCTGGACCACCTCCATCATGGGCTTCTCCAGCTCCAGCTCCCCCTTCCCGCCAGCGATCACCCATGGGTGCTTGTTGATTTCCTCCAGCTGGAGGAGGACGACACTACGCGGTCAGCTCAACACGTCATTGTCATGGCACTCACACGCGTACGCACGCACACAAGCACTAACACGTTTACGCACGCACACAAGCACACACACGCGTACGCACGCACACAAGCACTCACACGCGTACGCACGCACTCAAGCACACACACGCGTACGCACGCACACAAGCACACACACGCGTACGCACGCACACAAGCACTCACACACACGTGTACACAGGCACATATACTTAATGGAATGAACTAAAGGAACAGGTTGTGGAAGCAAACTCCATTCATAATTTTAAAAGTAGGTATGTCAGGGAAATAGGTCAAAGAGACATTGCATTAGACAACCGTCGATAGAAAGGCGGCAATCCAAGAGCTAATTCTCTTGGATTCCGCATATACACACATACATTGCATACGCATAGACATTATACATATTGTATATACATACATACACACATACATATATACCTACATATTCACCTCGACCCAAAGGTTGAGAGGTCCAGGCAACCTCATTTTTGTGGACTTGCTGTATATTTAGATATTATGAAATGCCAAAATGATTAAAAGAAAGTTAGGTTCATTATTTATATTTACAATTAACAGATAAACGCTTAAAAATACTTTACAATAATTTGAAATTACTGCTCCCTTTTAGCATGTGTTTTTCCAAAAAATATATATATAATATCTGTGCAAATTCCCCAATTATTCTGAAGAAATTTAAATGTCTTGTGGTGTCACACTACAAGACATTTTAACGTGTGTGACGACAACATGTGTGTGTGTGTGTGTGTGTGTGTGTGTGTGTGTGTGTGTGTGTGTGTGTGTGTGTGTGTTTGTGTGCGCGCGCATGCATGCGTGTGCCTCTCACCGTGAAGCGCTTCTCCGGGTTGACCTCGATCATGCCCCTGAGCAGGTCTTGACAGTCCGGGGGGACGAAGTGTGGGATGTGGAAGACGCCCCTCTTCACCTTCTCCAGCAGCTGGCGGAGGTTGTCGTCATCGAAGGGGAGCGCCCCCACCAGGAGGGCGTACAGGATCACCCCGCACGACCACACGTCCGCTCTGCGACCGTCGTACTTCTCTCCCTGAGGACCACCAACAACACCATCAGGATAACACACTCACTTCCCACATCGTTAAACAAAATTCACATCTGATTTTGTAATCAGAAACTCACACCCAGCCTCAAAAATGCCCACTTTATTGATTTACCTGTAAATATATCTAACTAGGGGTTATTATATTTAAAATTCTAAATAAATATTATAGTTTCACTATATCACAAGTGGACATTTGAAGTCATATAGTAAGGTAATTAAGATATTAGTAAGGTAATTAAGAGATACTGATCAAAGTGCATCATGGGGGCCAACAGGCCACGTGATGTCTGTAGCCTCTCCGGACGAGGCTGTTACGCAAGGAAGATATACGCATTATAGTACCAGATTAAGGCACATGAGATCAACTGAAGGTCGAGTAAGTCACAGGCATCAAGGGATATAAAGCCATTAACATTGGTCCTGCTCCAATTAGTTACAAATATATATATATACATCAAGAGCTCAACATTGCTAATAGTAAAAAAGAAAAAGAATAAAGAATTAGTTTCTTCTGAAGCGGTCCGCTCCCGGCGCTCTCATCTACCCCCCCCCCCCAAAAAAAAAAAACAATGACAAAACAAAAATCTTACAATTACAAATGAGATAAACAACTACAAGACAAGAAACAAACACACCATCACCAGGCGAAAATGTATTAATACATCTACACGCTCCAATTTTTGGGTGTCTCTTTCCCTCTGGATATTTGCCTGCGGGTACAAGTGCGTGTGTGCCTCTATGTATGTACACATGCATACATATGCATGTATGTTTGTGAATGCATGTGTGTGTGTATCTATGTATGTATGCATGCATATACTTGCAAGTTTGTAAATGCATGTGTGTATATGTAATCATGTATATATGTGTATGTATACAAGCATGTATATATATACAATAAGAATGTGTGGCCAGCGTTGTAGGCCAGACACCTGGGCCTACACTCACACAAATGTGGAGGAGAAATAGTGTGGTTTACGGGACGGGTGTAGGCTCGTCAGGGTAGGCCTAAGTTAAATGCTTTAAGATATACAGCGAGTAACCCAACATCCCAGAGCAATTGTTATGTGTCTGAAATAAATCTGGGATGAAATCGGGAATGAGATATCCGTAGACTGTGAAATTTACTGGAGCAATTTCTTAATATTTTCGGATAGAAGGGGAAGTGGGGGAGGAGGGGGAGGGGAGGATAGGGGGAATGGCAATGTCAAAGGGGCAGGGGGCGAAGGGAATGGGGAGAAGGGGGTCAAAGGGAAGATAGGAAATGAGGGATGGAATGGGGTTATGAGGAGAGGCAGACTACCCCGGGCACCTCTAGGTACAACCATAGTATATATATATATATATATATATATATATATATATATATATATATATATATATATATATATATATATATATATATATATATATATGAGAGTGTGTGTATACACACATGAAAGGAAATCAGGAGAGCGGGGAAGCTTAATTGGATTATATTTTTTGGGTCAGTTCTGTAGTTTTTTGCTTCGAAACTCCAATATTCCAGCTGTGTTTGTGTGGCTGGAAGGTAAGCGTTAAGGGGCAGGTTAATTACTACACCATTGTTACTGTATTTAGTGAGGCGCCATGAACCATACTTGTTTAGTGGAGTGCCATGAACCACGAGTGGAGTACCACAGGGTTCAGTTCTTGCACCAGTAATGTTCATTGTCTACATAAATGATCTACCAGATGGAATACAGAATTATATGAACATGTTTGCTGACGATGGTAAGGTAATAGGAAAGATAGTTCCTATAGCCAGTAAGGGGGTGGTTCTAGATAGAAAACTGTCACCTGAGAACCACATAAAGAATATTGTGCGAGAAGCCAATGCTACACTTTCTAACTTCAGAATTGCGTTTAAATACATGGATGGCAAAATACTAAAGAAATTGTTCACGACTTTTCTTAGACCAAAGCTGGAATATGCAGCAGTTGTATGGTGCCCATATCTTAAGAGGCAGATTAACTAACTGGAAAAGGTGCATAGACATGCTATTAAGTGGCTCCCAGAACTGAAGGGCAAGAGCTACGAGGAGAGGTTAGAGGCATTAAATATGACAAAACTAGAAGATAGAAAAAAAGAGGCGATATGATCACTACGTGCAAAATAGTAACGGGAATCGATAAAATTAATAGGGAAGGATTCCTGTGACCTGGAACTTCAAGAACAAGTGGCCATAGATTTAAACTAACTTAACACAGCTGCCGATGAAATATAAGAAAATTCATTTTCGCAGAGTGGTAGACGGTTGGAACAAGTTAGATGAAAAGGTGGTGGAGGCCAAAACCGTCAGTAGTTTCAATTGACAAAGAGTGCTGGGAAGACGGGACACCACGAGCGTAGCTCTCATCCTGTAACTACACTTAGATAATTACACACACACACACACACACACACACACACACACACACACACACACACACACACACACACACACACACACACACACACACACACACACACACACTCACCCTGATGACCTCCGGGCAGGCGTAGTGAGGTGACCCACACGACGTCTCCAACATAGACCCTTCGGGCTGCAGGGACGCCATGCCAAAGTCAGCGATCCTAATGCTGTTCTTCTCGTCCAGCAACAGGTTCTCCGGCTTCAGGTCCCGGTGGCTGGCGACAGACAAGCTTCGTCAGGGGCACAGTCAACCACGAATAAAAATAAACAATTAATAATGTTAATATTGAGAGGAAGGTGGTGGTATATGTAGGCGATGAAGGCGATGCAGAGGTTAAGCAATTATAAGGCGAAAGCGCTAAGCCAGTATGATACTTGAAATGGATATGAGAACAATAAGAAGAACGGAGTAAAGGGACGGTGCCCAGCCATTTCCACCATCGGGGAATCGAACGCTGACCCTGCAAGAAGCAAGGCTGTAACCGTACCGACCAGTCCAAGAAAGTAGATACAGAGGAAAGTTGTGTAGGGACGACTGGTGTTGGTTACAGCGACCAGTGAGGCGCGGGAACCACTGCCTCAAGAGCGGTGTGGGTCTGGCAGAGACCATTACCAGTGTTCCTTCCTGCGCGTGTCCATACATGTCCCCCGAGACCTGTGTGTATCGCCTCCACTACCCCATACGGGATGGGTATGGGGTCCACTACCGCCCACGGGATGGGTATGGGGTCCACTACCGCCCACTGGATGGGTATGGGGTCCACTACCGCCCATGGGATGGGTATGGAGTGCATAATAAATGAACAAACCTTAACATAAAACTAACAAGTTTCTCATGTTCTAACCAAACCTAATCCAGACATTTCTGTCCCGCCCGAGAATCGAACCAAGGATCCCCCGAGTGTGTGTCGAGAACGAAGCCAACTGAACTACCAGACCGGATACTGAATGTCGATTTATTACAAGACAGTTGACGTGTGCTTTATGAGGGAACATATATACGTCCGTGACCTTCTTAGGGCCAGTTTACACACCACAGTCGGGAGTCTTAACTGTAAGAAGGATTTTTAGTTTATCACCATCAGTTTGTCATTCTCCAGGGCGGGAGTTTCTTGGTTACGTTCACTTGTGGTCCTCGGGAGACTTGCAGACCTTAGGAGCACCAACTTCCCGCGCACTGATAAGGAAGTTTGAAGGTCTTTGTGGCGCCGCATTTCACAAGCACAAGGTGGATCACTTCAGACATGACCGTCTCAACTCTTCCGGTCAGCCACAGCTTAAGTCATTCACCCGTTTATGGCTGAATATAGTGCAGTCATTCACCCGTGTATGGGTGAATATAGTGCAGTCATTCACCCGTGTATGGCTGAATATAGTGCAGTCATTCACCCGTGTATGGCTGAATATAGTGCAGTTATTCACCCGTGTATGGGTGAATATAGTGCAGTCATTCACCCGTGTATGGGTGAATATAGTGCAGCCATTCACCCGTGTATGGGTGAATATAGTGCAGCCATTCACCCGTGTATGGGTGAATATAGTGCAGTTATTCACCCGTGTATGGCTGAATATAGTGCAGCCATTCACCCGTGTATGGGTGAATATAGTGCAGTCATTCACCCGTGTATGGGTGAATATAGTGCAGTCATTCACCCGTGTATGGGTGAATGTAGAATGCAGTCATTCAAAACCCTTATATAAAAAACCTCAGTGTAGGAAAGGTATATCAGGGGAATTTATAAACCATGATAGCGAACGTGGAGAATAAAATTGTTGGAGTTTGAGGGGAATAATACCCTTTGTAACATGGGTAATGGCCACCCTACCACCATCTCACACCCAACAAGACAGTCGGAAGTTGGTAACGTTTGTCACGATACAATGCAAAATAAAATAGGGTTTTAAGATTGAAAATTGTGTAAACTAACAGTAATATTAATCATATTACACAGATAACCATTCTAGATAAGTACAGTGTTTCTGTAACAAAGCATCACTATGTATCACCGGAGAGGTGTTTATAGTAGTTGCAGTCCCCGCAACACAACACAACATTTGTCAACACACACAAAATCTCTCACCATATACTCACCATATAGAGTGACTATGACAAAAATCTAAGGCTGATATAATTTGTCTGAAGAATCTCCGAGCTTCCTTAGGTGTTAACCTGCCTTTCTTGACGAGGTAGTCGAAGAGCTCCCCACCAGACACGTGTTCCAGCACCAGGTACCTGCAAGAGTACTCTTGTTAGTTCTGCCACAAGTGATGAAGATTATAGTGTCAGCTCCTGGTACTGTGTTCCAGCCCCCAGGTACCAGCAAGAACGGGGCTACCTCCTGGTACTGTGTTCCAGCCCCAGGTACCAGCAAGAACGGGGCTACCTCCCGGTACTGTGTTCCAGCCCCAGGTACCAGCAAGAACGAGGCTACCTCCTGGTACTGTGTTCCAGCCCCAGGTACCAGCAAGAACGAGGCTACCTCCTGGTACTGTGTTCCAGCCTCAGGTACCAGCAAGAACGGGGCTACCTCCTGGTACTGTGTTCCAGCCCCAGGTACCAGCAAGAACGAGGCTACCTCCTGGTACTGTGTTCCAGCCCCAGGTACCAGCAAGAACGAGGCTACCTCCTGGTACTGTGTTCCAGCCCCCAGGTACTAGCAAGAACGGGGCTACCTCCTGGTACTGTGTTCCAGCCCCAGGTACCAGCAAGAACGAGGCTACCTCCTGGTACTGTGTTCCAGCCCCCAGGTACCAGCAAGAACGAAGCTACCTCCTGGTACTGTGTCTCTTCCTTCGCCCCTTGTTCCCCAGCAGTAATTACGGACCTGGTTGTAAAACGACTGGCGGATCGTGTGCTGGGAATAAACCATGACGCCCAATGACCTAATAGGTTGCATGGCCCGAGACCAAAACTTACGACAACATCACGTACTCAACATGTATGTCCCAGAGGCCCTCTCCCGCCACGCTGACGGCCACTGCCGCCCCCACACCGCAGTGTGGACCAGGACGCAGTGTGGACCAGGACGCAGTGTGGACCAGGACGCAGTGTGGACCAGGACGCAGTGTGGACCAGGACGCAGTGTGGACCAGGACGCAGTGTGGGCCAGGACGCAGTGAGGGCCAGGACGCAGTGAGGGCCAGGACGCAGTGTGGACCAGGACGCAGTGTGGACCAGGACGCAGTGTAGACCAGGACGAAGTGTGGACCAGGACGCAGTGAGGGCCACGGACGCAGTGAGGGCCACGGACGCAGTGTGGGCCACGGACGCAGTGAGGGCCACGACGCAGTGTAGACCAGGACGCAATGTAGACCAGGACGCAGTGTGGGCCAGGACGCAGTGAGGGCCAGGACGCAGTGTGGACCAGGACGCAGTGAGGGCCAGGACGCAGTGTGGACCAGGACGCAGTGTAGACCAGGACGCAGTGAGGGCCAGGACGCAGTGTGGACCAGGACGCAGTGTAGACCAGGACGCAGTGTGGGCCAGGACGCAGTGTGGGCCAGGACGCAGTGTGGACCAGGACGCAGTGTGGGCCAGGACGCAGTGTGGACCAGGACGCAGTGTAGACCAGGACGCAAGCTTTATACATTTTTATAATTTGCTTCACAACAATTTTTGTTTTGTTGATGAAGTATCTCCACTTCATAAGGCTTTGGTGCGCTTCACGGAAGGATGCCAGGCTGCTACACCCTTGGCTGCTACACCCTCGGCTGCTACACCCTTGGCTGCTACACCCTCGGCTGCTACACCCTTGGCTGCAACACCCTCGGCTGCTACACCCTCGGCAGCAACACCCTCGGCTGCAACACCCTCGGCAGCAACACCCTCGGCTGCTACAGCCTCGGCTGCTACACCCTCGGCAGCAACACCCTCGGCTGCTACACCCTCGGCAGCAACACCCTTGGCTGCTACACCCTCGGCTGCAACACCCTTGGCTGCTACACCCTCGGCTGCTACACCCTCGGCTGCTACACCCTTGGCTGCTACACCCTTGGCTGCAACACCCTTGGCTGCTACACCCTCGGCTGCAACACCCTTGGCTGCTACACCCTCGGCTGCTACACCCTCGGCTGCTACACCCTTGGCTGCAACACCCTTGGCTGCAACACCCTCGGCTGCTACACCCTCGGCTGCTACACCCTCGGCTGCTACACCCTCGGCTGCAACACCCTCGGCTGCTACACCCTCGGCTGCAACACCCTCGGCTGCAACACCCTCGGCTGCTACACCCTCGGCTGCTACACCCTCGGCTGCAACACCCTCGGCTGCAACACCCTCGGCTGCTACACCCTCGGCTGCAACACCCTCGGCTGCTACACCCTCGGCTGCTACACCCTCGGCTGCAACACCCTTGGCTGCTACACCCTCGGCTGCAACACCCTTGGCTGCTACACCCTTGGCTGCTACACCCTTGGCTGCTACACCCTTGGCTGCTACACCCTTGGCTGCAACACCCTTGGCTGCTACACCCTCGGCTGCAACACCCTCGGCTGCTACACCCTTGGCTGCTACACCCTTGGCTGCTACACCCTTGGCTGCAACACCCTCGGCTGCAACACCCTCGGCTGCAACACCCTTGGCTGCAACACCCTCGGCTGCTACACCCTCGGCTGCAACACCCTCGGCTGCTACACCCTTGGCTGCTACACCCTTGGCTGCTACACCCTTGGCTGCTACACCCTCGGCTGCAACACCCTCGGCTGCTACACCCTCGGCTGCAACACCCTCGGCTGCTACACCCTTGGCTGCTACACCCTTGGCTGCTACACCCTTGGCTGCTACACCCTCGGCTGCAACACCCTCGGCTGCTACACCCTTGGCTGCTACACCCTTGGCTGCTACACCCTTGGCTGCTACACCCTTGGCTGCAACACCCTTGGCTGCTACACCCTCGGCTGCAACACCCTCGGCTGCAACACCCTTGGCTGCTACACCCTTGGCTGCTACACCCTCGGCTGCAACACCCTCGGCTGCTACACCCTTGGCTGCTACACCCTTGGCTGCTACACCCTTGGCTGCTACACCCTTGGCTGCAACACCCTTGGCTGCTACACCCTCGGCTGCAACACCCTCGGCTGCAACACCCTTGGCTGCTACACCCTCGGCTGCTACACCCTCGGCTGCTACACCCTCGGCTGCAACACCCTCGGCTGCTACACCCTCGGCTGCTACACCCTTGGCTGCTACACCCTTGGCTGCAACACCCTTGGCTGCTACACCCTCGGCTGCTACACCCTCGGCTGCAACACCCTCGGCTGCTACACCCTCGGCTGCAACACCCTCGGCTGCTACACCCTCGGCTGCAACACCCTCGGCTGCTACACCCTTGGCTGCAACACCCTCGGCTGCTACACCCTCGGCTGCAACACCCTTGGCTGCTACACCCTCGGCTGCTACACCCTTGGTTGCTACACCCTTGGCTGCTACACCCTCGGCTGCTACACCCTCGGCTGCTACACCCTTGGCTGCTACACCCTTGGCTGCTACACCCTTGGCTGCTACACCCTCGGCTGCAACACCCTTGGCTGCAACACCCTCGGCTGCTACAGCCTCGGCTGCTACACCCTCGGCTGCTACACCCTCGGCTGCTACACCCTCGGCTGCTACACCCTCGGCTGCTACACCCTCGGCTGCTACACCCTCGGCTGCTACACCCTCGGCTGCTACACCCTCGGCTGCAACACCCTTGGCTGCTACACCCTCGGCTGCTACACCCTCGGCTGCTACACCCTCGGCTGCTACACCCTCGGCTGCTACACCCTCGGCTGCAACACCCTTGGCTGCTACACCCTCGGTTACAACACCACGGCAGCAGCCGCAACACACGAAGACGTCTCTAAGATTCCTGCAGTCCAGGGACGCAGGCAGACGTAAACACATTCTGGTAGTTTGCTCTGTGTGTTAATCCTCTCTCTCGGAACTCTGCTAAGACATTTACTGCAACTAGGTAATGTCTCCTCCTGGCGTCACTGAGGAAGGCAGCAGTGGGGGACCCGCCTCCTGGCGTCACTGAGGAAGGCAGCAGTGGGGGGACCCACCTCCTGGCGACACTGAGGAAGGCAGCAGTGGGGGACCCGCCTCCTGGCGTCACTGAGGAAGGCAGCAGTGGGGGACCCGCCTCCTGGCGTCACTGAGGAAGGCAGCAGTGGGGGGACCCACCTCCTGGCTACACTGAGGAAGGCAGCAGTGGGGGACCCGCCTCCTGGCGTCACTGAGGAAGGCAGCAGTGGGGGACCCGCCTCCTGGCGTCACTGAGGAAGGCAGCAGTGGGGGACCCGCCTCCTGGCGTCACTGAGGAAGGCAGCAGTGGGGGACCCGCCTCCTGGCGACACTGAGGAAGGCAGCAGTGGGGGACCCGCCTCCTGGCGACACTGAGGAAGGCAGCAGTGGGGCACCCACCTCCTGGCGACACTGAGGAAGGCAGCAGTGGGGGGACCCACCTCCTGGTGACACTGAGGAAGGCAGCAGTGGGGGGACCCGCCTCCTGGTGACACTGAGGAAGGCAGCAGTGGGGGGACCCGCCTCCTGGCGACACTGAGGAAGGCAGCAGTGGGGCACCCACCTCCTGGCGACACTGAGGAAGGCAGCAGTGGGGGGACCCGCCTCCTGGTGACACTGAGGAAGGCAGCAGTGGGGCACCCACCTCCTGGCGTCACTGAGGAAGGCAGCAGTGGAGCACCCACCTCCTGGTGACACTGAGGAAGGCAGCAGTGGGGCACCCACCTCCTGGCGTCACTGAGGAAGGCAGCAGTGGGGCACCCACCTCCTGGTGACACTGAGGAAGGCAGCAGTGGGGGGACCCGCCTCCTGGCGTCATAGGGGAAGTAGAGAAGGCAGCCGAAGGATGAACCTCCCATCTTCTAAGAATAGCTTTAACCTTCGATAAAAGTAGAAGGACCTTTAAGACGACAGAACAAAAGATTTACCGTCCTATAAGGAAAACTTACCATGGGCCCTCTATCACGGTCTGCCTGGATGGTGAGAACGGTATTGATTGGTCCAGGGCCACTGTGGCCCAGGTGGCCCCCAGGTGAGCGAGGGAGGTGTGGTCCAGGGCCACGGTGGCCCAGGTGGCCCCCAGGTGAGCGAGGGAGGTGTGGTCCAGGGCCACGGTGGCCCAGGTGGCCCCCAGGTGAGCGAGGGAGGTGGGGTCCAGGGCCACGGTGGCCCAGGTGGCCCCCAGGTGAGCGAGGGAGGTGTGGGTCCAGGGCCACGGTGGCCCAGGTGGCCCC